CGCCGCCGCCGCCACCGCCGCCACCGCCACCAATTGCAGAACCAACCGTGCCTACGTCAAATGATGGTTCAGAGAAAAAGGACAAAACACCGAATCGTCCGCCTATGACAACTACAACGGATGATCGTTCTAATTTGATGGCGGCGATACGAGACGCTGGTGGAATAGGCAGAGCGAAATTGAGGCCTACTGTACCAGACGAAAAGAAGCGTGATCGATGGTCTTCGGCTTCGGTAGGAGGTGATCTGATGGCGGATCTACATGCAAAACTAGCGTTAAGACGCAAAGGTATCGCCGGCTCCACGGTAGGCGCTTTGGAGAGAATGTCGAGCTTAATACCGCCTCCTCCGAAACCAACTGAAGCGTCGGACAGAAATTCCGCCACCAGCGAATACGACTCTCAACCTGATACGGACGATTGGGAAGAGTGATCACTACTGTTGTGGTAATTAGTAGAACAGCGTACTATTGAATTATGGTATATGATCATGATAAATGAAAACATCTGCGCATGAAGAGACTCAGGGGAATTTTTTATTGGATAAATTCAATGAAGTAAAGGAGGATAGAATCAGATATACAGATCTAGTTATATTATTTTTTTATTCAGATCTGAAAATTATGTTTTTCAAAATTTTACTTTCATCCCGTAACTTTGTTAATCATATTTTTTCTACGAAAAAATAATTCGTTTAAAAATTTATATTTTGTGGATATATAATTTTGGTAATGCAATAGTTCGATCAAATAACGTTACGCGACTATTTACAAAATTTTTGAAGGGATGAGAAAAATTGTTATGAAAAAAATGAGTTAACAGAATAAAAAATTTTATTTTGTACGTTAATACATTTTCCCAGTAATTATCTATAATTATTTACTTACATTTATGTATATTTATTTTATTCGTTATATATATATTTTTTTTTTGTGTACAATCATCCTCAGAAAAGTCTTGTACATAAAGTGTATTACAAAAGTAAAATTAGTCCATTAAAATCCTGATTGTACATTTCTTAATATGCGATAAAATGTATAATATACGAATGTAACTAATGTATATATACTGTTACGTTAATAAAGTTTTATATTCAAATTGTATAATACTCAATAAATTTGTAATATTAAAATTTGCACATATACCATTGAGGCTGTTGAGCAGTCTTTCAATACATACTTAAGAATTATTAGTATTACGATATATGATATGTTTGCAACATTGAATATATATTTGAAACGCTTTACAAAACGAATACACAAATGTATATTATACCCTGATGTTATACTTTCATTTGTTTCTTACGTACACATATGGCAAAATTAAAGTCAAAATTGTTCCAATACTTTATGTATATCATCATTTTTAGACATATATTCTCGATATGTACATATATATAAAGCTGCTAGGGGCAAGAATAGATGTATATAATTTAAACACAGGTGTTGATGATTATCTTCATTTATTTCGAAATGAAATAAATGAAGATAACCATGAACACCTGAATATTATCTGCTTCTCCTATCTCTTCGCTTTTACATCAGCGTATGACTCTCATTAGTCTTATCTAAATTTTTATTTTATTGTATATGATTTATTTCTGTCGCGGTAAAATTAATTGCTTTGCACCTATCGAGTATGAATTGTAGTATAAGGAGAGCAACAGATCTCTAGAATATTTTTCAAAAATTCTATATTACATTGTTCGATTCAAAATTATAAATTTGGCGCGATCCAATTCAAGAATTTCATGCAAATTTCGAAGCCCATAAAACACGCCGCATTTGCAGGGAAAGCTCGTAGCATAACGGGTACGACACCCTTGTAAAGCGCCATTGGTCCCTCGTTTTTCATCAATTTAACAAATACCTCGCGTATTCCTTGTTTGTACGTACCTTCTGGTGCTGTATAATAATGTACGATAAGAAATATTACATTGCATATTTATATCCGTTAATTACAACTTTAATTACAATTTTAATCAGAATTTTGAAAGATAAAAAAAAGAGACTCTTAGAAGTATATACGTACCAGTCTGTAGGCGACTTTTCAGGATATCAGGTGGCATTCCCACCAACCAGTTCGCAATGCCTGCAAAACCGCCAGCCGTTATGGTGGCCAGTAAGCTAAGTTTCCCATCCTCTGGAGTAAATCGCTCCTTTATATATTCGTATGTTAAAAAATACATTCCGCTGGCTGGAATATCTGAAAAAAGCATGGAGGCATAGTAAATTAGGAATCGCTTAAGTATCCTTGTGCAAACCAAAGATGGCATATAAACATTATGTAGAATTAATAATAGCGAGTAGATAGCGTGTGGGTTGGCAGATAGAAGGCATCCTGTTTGATAGGAAGCACATCAAAGCATATAGATAACAGTTAACAAAATCCAGTTTCCTTCGGGCCAGTGTGCTGCCGCTGGTCCCGAGTATCGTGCTCCGATTCAAAATCATCATAAAGTGAAACAACATGACATTTGTTATCTTGCTTTTCATCATCTTATCATTGGTACATACAAATTTTAACACCTTGTCGTGCGCTCCGTTAATAAATTCGACTTCGTTTTCTATGTAATTATTTTGTATACGTGACGCGTGTCGACACACTCAGGCCGGTATTTATAATCAGTCCTTATATTTAAGACCGTCTTAAATACAGTTTTAAGATATCATTAGGCAACCACAGATCGGCATTCATAGTCAATTCTTATATTTAAGACTGTCTTAAGTACACTCTTATGATGTTATAAATCAGAGAACCACATTAGTGCATCTTAAGATATTTAACAATCTCAAAATAAGAACCAATTATGAATTAATCTTAATATATCAATATACATAAAATGACTACTCTATACTCAAACTAAATTCAACGCTATAAAATAGATTAAAAACCACAAGAAATCTGTAAGTTTGAAATATTCTATCACAATATAAAGTCATTGATTCGAATTGCGTTGTATTCAGGATCAGTGTATAGGACAAGTTATCGATATCGGTGATGTGTGGGAGATTAAATGCCCGCAGGGATGTACCTGTGAGATCCAAAAGTATTCCGACCTGTCTCTGCATCAATGGGCTGGCATAAACAAAGATAATAATCAGGTATGAGTAAATGACAATCAACGCTTTCATAGTATTCGTTTCCATAATTTTAATACATCTTCAATCAAACAGGATATACCTTCCGATGGTGCTGATCTTAATATAAACGACAATTCAATGGCTCATGAACTGATGAAAATCGCAACATGCGTGATTGTTGACAATCCTGAAGAACTTTTGACTAAACTTCCTTCAGATATACAGGTGACATAAAAAGCACATAATTTCATAAGTTTATATACCCCTCACGTTAACTCATCTTGGCGTTTTACCAGGTTCTAACATTACTCGAATCGGGTAGCGGGGATGTCGATATTCTTCTGCAAGCTACTACATTCCAACGATTCACAGAATTGATATCGCTAGATATTCAAGGGATAGATTATAGCGATTCCTCCATGAAAGAGACGAATAATCGTACAGAAAAAGGCGGCATTATTCTCGCATCTGACACAATGTATCCGCTAGGATCTACTTTACTATATCTAAATTTGGAACGAATTAAATTGTCAAACTTAAATTTGCCAAACAAGGACAAGGCAAATCTGGTGATCAAGCCGATGAACTCGCAGGAAACGGAAACAGTCGACGAAAACCAGGTGTCTATGAGCAATAGCAGCCAATACAAAGGTCATAGACTTATTTTTCTGAGTCAACAGAATAACGAAGATAAAGAAATACTGCCATATGACATTTATAAGCAAGAATTGGAAGGCTACAGAGAAAATGTTGAACTGCTTGCTGCGCTCGGTGTTTTAACGCATCTAAGAATTTATGATTGTAACCTGAAAGATATATCTTGGCACATGTTCGATGGCCTCAATAGTCTTCTTTATCTCTCACTAGAAAAAAACGGGCTGAAATTCATTCCTGAATTTTGCTTTTACGGCACACCAAATTTAAGATCACTCTCACTGGCAAGCAACGAATTACTGACATTGAAAAGCGTAGACCTGGCAGGATTACTTCTATTAGAACATCTGGATTTAAGACAAAATAATTTAACGTTCCTGTCGGAGTTATCGTTTCCGCCTTTCCCTGCACTCGTGAGCGCTGACTTTACGAACAACCCTCTAGATTCCATTTTTCCAAGGTAATAAATAATACTATACGTATTTGTTTCCATTATTAAATATGAGAAAATTGTATGTTCATTTCAGTACTTTTGAGATCATGAATACGACAATAAAATTGTATCTCGGAGGTATGGCATCTAAACTGAAACTGCAGAAGAATTCGTTATTGGGTCTACGTCGAGCTGAGATATTACACTTATACAACCTAGAGATACCTATATTAGAACGTTTTATCATGCAAGGATTGCCATCGTTGACGCATCTTAAGATGCGAGGAAACGTCTCAAGGATCGATTTTGATGCGTTTGTCGACCTTACTAATTTATTGGATCTTGATTTAAGTCATTGCCATATTCAACAAATTTCTATGGATGCCTTCTATGGTTTGGAAAAAGTTAGGAGAATTGATTTATCAAATAACGATCTGGAATCTATACCGCCTGGTTTATTCACTGCTCAACAGCAGAAGGAATTGAGAGATATTATACTTACAAAGAACAAATTAACTTCGTTATCTTTAGATTTCTTTAGAAATTTGAGATTGCCAAATAAACAAACGCGTGTCCAAAATATAAGATTGGACGATAATCCTTGGGATTGTGCGTGCATCATGATCAGCTGGAATCCTAATCTGGTAATTTATAGTTATTAATATCATATTTGATCTTTACTGTTTAAAGCCATTTATAATGACTTAATTGTAAATAGAGAAGAATTAATATATCAGGAAATATGTTAATAAATATTAATATATTAATAATACAAAAATTATTAACAATAGCTTTGTGCAACATCATTTTTAGGTAAATAGAAATAAGGAAACAGCTCCACGTTGTTCAACGCCGAAACGATTACAGAATTGGGGTGTCTTTTATGCATTGCGCAAAGGTGGTTTACAATGTAGAAACCCGAGGAAAAGATACCTCCGAAAATTTTTAAAGACGAGAAACTCTGAAGAGGACAACAATATCAGTTAGCTAATCTCTCTTTTCAAATTGTATGTATCTGTCGATATACACAGAGAATTAATAAAAGAAAGATACACTCAAAATTTTTAGAACCTATTTCCTTTTCTAAAAATATATAATACTACTTGATCCTTCATTTTAAGGTACATAACAAACGCGAAAATTTCCATTTTAATTCTTCTGGCAAACTTCTACTTGGTATATGCAGTGTAATATTTTTAAACATAATTTTATAAATAATATACGTAATTTTTGAGAATTGTATATAACAAAGTATGAATTATACCTCTTAACAATGTAGCGCAGGTGCCTTTATAGATACTTCTGATGCCCCCTTCTCGATACAATTGTTTAGCGCAATCCAATGGTCCACTATACTTTGGCTTCGCATCTGCATGCTGTATTTGCAACAGACATTTAATACGTTCACCAGGTGCCATTATAATAGTCGTGAATATGCCGCTAAATGCACCAGCGTAAAATAATTGTAATGGAGTGAGTTTCTCATCTGGGACTCTCTGTTGTAGCTTCTTCCCGACGCTGTAGCCAAAGAAACTTATTGCAAATATAGGAGCAACACCGGATAATGGTGCACCCATGCCTAAACAAATAACAAAACCCAATTCTAATTAATAATTTTCTTTTAAAAATATATAAGTCCCTGAGATATAAATAATTTGTGAAGGTACCAACTATATTTTTACTTATGATAACTATAGACCTGCTTGTGCCACTTGAATACTATTTATACATCATGTTACATAATGTTTTGGAAATTCTAAAATATTAAATTTTAGTCTAGTTTATACAGTTGACACAATTATCAAAATATCAATATGTTTATAGCAATAACTTAAGACTTTATACAAATATCTTTTTAATCTCGATATTGAATTGGAAAAAGCTTGACATGATATTCGAGTGATATTCAGTACAAATATAAATACCCTTATATAAACCACGTATTCCTTCTTTGGTGATTGTTTTCTTAGCACAGTCCCATGTACCAGTGTAGAGAGGCAATGCATTGGGTCCTGGAACTGGCATCGTCTGGAGCCGTACCTAAATACATAGAGCAATGTCTTACAAAATGCACATGATTTTTGTAGAAGGCAAACTAGAATATTTAAGCAGAATGTAGATAAGAAAAAGAGAAGCAATATGTCAATTTTATACTCAATTTTTAATAAGCTGGTCAATTAAAATATAACCTCACCTTTATGGTATCCAGAGGGTGACCGGCTATCACGGTACATACTCCACCAAATCCACCGCTTAAGAAATATTTAATAGGGCTAACGGTATCCGACATGATTATTGTATATGAGACTGGAAGTCTACCAACAAGTGTATCGACGAAATAATAGTTTTAAATCTGGTTGATCAAGTCAGGGGTCAAAGTACAGTGGCAATTGGTCCTTGACGTAGGCTCGAGATATCATTGCTAGGTCATGATGTTTTTCACAGTCTTTTACATAACTTAATATATAATCGTATTTATATTGCAATAACATTTTAATAATAGTGTGTACAAATTAGGGACAAATTGTTACAAACGGTTGATCTGTTCCTTCGAGCTGTATTTTATAACACTATCTGCACTCGAAATGAAGATGAATGTAATGATTAGCGTATGTGTAATGTATTTCACAATAAATGAGTACATGTACATAGATACACAAGGATGCATTGGGGTGCGTTCCGTTTCATGGACATGATGGTATCATCTTATCTTTGTTGTTCATTAAACATTAGAAAGAAGGATAAAATGATACATCAGGCGCATTATATGCGAAATGAAATGGAACGCGTCCTAATTTACGCGTAATTTTTCTTTTCACATATATTGCTATATCGCTATATGAAAGAGAAAAAAAAATATAAAGCATTATAAGGGATTATTTATTTGTAATATTGTTTAGTTATTACGGATTATTTGGAAAACAATTATTTTTACAAATATGTAAATCATCCTGAGTGCGAGCGTGGGATAGCAGGCAGCGCACTGCTGTCAGCTGTGCCAAAGATCTCAGGTTCGATTCCAAAGACAACCGAAAAATTTTTTGAACGCTCGTAGCTCCTCTCGGCAGACAATGGCAAACACCGAGAGTATCCTTGTACACTTCTCTAAATAAAATCGTTGTTAAATTGTATGTCCCTTATGACCGTTACAATCAACGTGCCCACATACGAGAAGTCACCACACTCAAAGAAGACCACATTTAACACCCCAACTATGTGGGAAGTTGTTTACTATCTGTAGTAATAGTTATGTAAGGTGGGGAAAGAAAACAGGTTCCTACGCTGTCATGCTAGTTTTTATAATAGTATTGTTCGTTTTGTCTCTCGGGTGTTGCTCAGGGTCGCTTCGAATGAACCCACTGTACTTGAAATATAGGATTCACACTACGTACATCTGTCATACGACGTCTGACATTCATCATAACAATGAATGTCAGATGTTCTATATACTGTGAATCCTACATTTCAAGTACACTGGGTTCATTCGGAGTGATCCCGAGCAGCTCCTGAGACAAAACAAACAATGCTAACAATAAACAAAAGATTCTGCTACAAAATTCATATGGTCTTTATTATAAAGATAAAACACTCCTTATATGAAATACACTTGTACAGCAATGTCAATATCTTTACGACATATACCACATGTTTTCATATTACTGGCACACTCTGCACACGCTAATAAATGTCCACATGGTATAAATGCGATCTGTAATTCTCTATTAAAGCAAATTTTACATAATGTTGCATCGTTATTGCATGGTTTATCACCCTGTATTTTTTGGACAGATTGTTCCTTGGGGCTTGCCTTGCCTGATACAGTACTTGTTTCTTCATTATTAGTTTCTTCAGAACGAAGCAAGTTTCGAGTACTTTCACCAGCAATACTCTCACTACTATCTTTTTCCATTCTCTTATCCAATTTATTAGCTGTAGATGAAGCGGTTTTCTAAAAAAAATAAAACAATTTAAGATTGATAGTCTTCAGCACAATTATTTCATAATTTTTTAAAGAGATTAAACTTTGTTTACAGACATACAAATTATATAATTCCAATATTTAATTTGAAAAAAAAAATAGGACAATGCTCGTTCTCTACAAAAGCAAATAAATGTATATAAAAATATATATATAGAATAATCTACAAACGAGCCAAGTACTAAAGTCTTACTCTATTAAATGCCTGTTTATTTTTATATAACACAACATATTTCAGCATATAAATAAATTACCACACTACCATTTAAACCCCATAAAGTACTGACTAATAATTTTTGGCGATAATACAATACATTTCAATTTCATTAAAAACTTACTGTTTTAGTATATAGTTTTTTAATGTTGTTTACAAACTTTTGTCCTTTAGTTACAAGCAAATAAGGACATTGATTGAACCACTTGGCATGTTCTACCCAAGGATCATCATATGGATCCCAATGCATTAATCCTCCACCACAGTAATAGCATAATGTTTCATCGCCACTTCCCGAGTAATAGAAACCAGCAGTTGCCAGTTCTTCTTTAGTTTGTGACATTGCTTTGGGCCATTTATCATACGACGCTAATCTAGCAGCATAATTAACATATTCTGGATGTTTCGGTTTTGACGTAAGCTCTTTCAATCTAAAATTCACTTGATCTCCATGGTTTGGACTGGATTTAGGCATGTTTGTCTGAACATAAATTCCACATTCATCCACGCCTTCCGGTACAGACGCCGGAATTGCACTAGGATCTGTACCGATCGGCATATTGCCACATGGAATTTTACGAATAGACCTACATTCTCCAAACCGCTGATGATCAACCATCGGATCATCTTCCGGTTTCCATTTCCGTAGTTCCGCACCACACTCGAAACATTTCACTATGTCGCTTTCACCAGTATAAGAAAGTCCAGCTGCTACGAATTCTTCTGACTTCTTCCATAAATACGGACAGATACGGAAACTTCTCAAACGGGCAGCCTCAAATGGATTTAAAGAATCTAAATCTAAAGAAACCGATGAAATTCATTATCAATTTCATCTTATTCTTTCGCAAGTATATATAAGATTTTATTAAATTTTGTAACATACAACTTGGTGGACGCCTGCAGTGTTCAATGTATTTAGTCATTTTTGGGATATATACGGGATATATTTATTGTCTCTATGACCTCCTGTGAACTTGCCAGAACTAGTAAAGAAAAAAATAAATGTTAATATTGATGACGCTAAGATTCTCCCCAACGCGCCTAACGGTCGTAAGTGGAACTTGCGTAAATTATAACGTTTTTCACGGGCAGAATCGATGCGCACTCAGTGCACATTAGGCTGGATACCCATGAGGTGTATTTAACGCGGGGGTGATCCCGATTGACCACGGCTCGATTGGACATTACCAATCACAGCGACCGGTGCTTAGGAGCTATGTAGTCTCAAGCGCTGTGAGTGGCTCGTGTCCAATTGAGCCGTGTCCAACTGGGTGCCACCCTCTTTCCTTTCCTTCCATTTCATGGAAAAGAAGAATTTCGATTGGCTGATTCCCTTATGCACTATGCATTATGCGTTATGCAAGAGTGTGTGCTGCTGCCTAATGCTGGATTCACACTGCATCCGATTTGTGTCGTACGATGCTCTGCAACCAATCAGAAAACAGGATTCCGATGATACAAAGCAAAATCCATCGGAATATTGTTTTCTGATTGGTTGCAGAGCATCGTACGACACAAATCGGATGCAGTGTGAATAAAGCGTAATCGTATACGAAAGTCTAGGGAAATGCTACAGTATACGTGACGTGTACTATAGTATTTCCCTAGACTTTCGTATACGTTTCTTTTCAAGAATAGAGCCCCAGTTCCCTGTTGTTCCCTACTTCTTTGATTATGCCACTGCTCGTCGCCATATTTGAGCCAAAGTTTCTTCCACCATGATTTGCGCGAGAAATCGCGCAAACATGGCGATGAACATGCGAAAATTTGCTCTCTGCAAATGCAGCGCGTCTCTATCTTCACATTTTTAGTACGCGACACTCTACAGCTGGCGACACGTTGGCTTCTTTTATGCAAATGTAGATATTGCAGTTTTGACACAATTGAATATGTAGGTTTGCAAACGTGTAAAATTATTGATGTTTGACACGTTGACGAATGCATGCCATTGAGCCGGCTCTGAATTGTCTCAGTTTCCTTTTTCCGACGAAAGGTACATTTCATTTATTTGTCAGAATTATTAGCTAAAAACAAGATAGGTTAGTTCCGCGTTAACGAATTATACAGCGGCTAAAAATTACCAATTTGATTTATTCTTGAAATAATAGGCAGCGTTGACAGAATTTTTTAAAATATCGTGTTAAAGCCCCAAAAATTAAAAAACAGTATTAAGTAACATGTTAAAATTTTTAGATATACGTAATTTGGAGAAGATGAGGATTGTACAGTTTAGAAAAAACCGCTTGTTCCACGTATTGATTGGCAGTACTCTGACATTGCTAGTTTTATACATTCTTCTTAATTTCTCCTCGGATGATCATATGAACAATATAAAAGAATATTGGACACAAAGTCGTGGAAAGGGTGGACAGGTAAAGTACTTATTTTAATTAATATAAATTAATATTAATTTATTTTATATATATTTATGCTAAACAATTTTTTATTGACAATCTTTTGGATACTTTCTATCCTTATATGTATTAAATATACTTTTTATCAAGAGATACAAATGACATGGTGAATTGTTTCATCTTTATTTAATATTAGCAAACAAGGTAATGATTCACTGCGTTATACTGTATTACCTATATACCTCTTGTTGGACAGCTTTCATATCTCTTTTTAACATTACATAGGTACCAGTTCTTGTAGAAGGTTTAGGAAATTATGAACCACGAGATGTACAGGTTAGATCTGGTCCTGGAGAAGGTGGTAAACCACATATTTTGAGAGACGATCAGTTGAACGATGTCCAGCAATCAGAATCTGATTATGGTATGAATATGGTGTGCTCTGATGAAATCTCATTATCGAGATCGATACCAGACACCAGACTTGCACAGTAAGTTCCATCTTGTACAGCTAATAGTATTAGTTTCTGATCTATCTTTTAATTTCTATGTTTCTTTTTATATAATATAGATGTAAGCATTGGAACTATCCAGAAGAGCTACCACGTACCAGTGTTATTATAGTTTTTCACAACGAAGGTTGGTCCGTTTTACTGCGAACTATTCAGAGCGTTATAGATCGCACTCCATCAAAGCTACTTGAAGAAGTTCTTCTTGTTGATGATTTTTCTGATAAAGGTATATTCCTTCATGAAATGCTACAATATTTATACTTAGAAATATTTGATAGTTAACATATATAATAAATAATACAATTCTTTCCAGAGAATTTAAAAAGTGATTTAGATTCCTATATTGAACAATGGGGAGGAAAAGTTAGATTACTTAGAAATCACGAAAGACAAGGTTTAATACGAACGCGATCTCGAGGAGCACGTGAGGCCAGAGGCGAAGTAATAGTGTTTTTAGATGCTCATTGCGAAGTTAATGTAAATTGGCTGCCTCCACTTTTAGCACCAATTGCTGAAAACAGGTAAAATAATTTACATTGAAAAATGGAAGAATATCAATGTTTTTGTAACTAGAAAAAATTGAAGTATACTCTCAAATAGGAAGTACAATAATAAAATAATACCTATAACTTTGCAATATTTTTCTTCTAAATTATACGTTGTTTTTCTTCTAGAAACGTAATGACTGTTCCTGTGATAGACGGCATTGATCACAAAACTTTTGAATATCGTCCTGTGTATCAAGAAGGACATTTGTACAGAGGAATATTTGAATGGGGAATGTTGTATAAAGAGAACGAATTGCCCAGGCGGGAAGGCAAAACGCGTGCACATGACAGTATGCCGTACAGGTACAATTTCTGTTTCTACATATATAATCTTATTTAGTTCGTTATATTGATATTTCTCTTCTCCAGTATTATTTCATTCATATATGGCTTACAGATCACCTACGCACGCTGGTGGTTTATTTGCCATAAGTCGACAATACTTTTTATCATTGGGTGGATACGATGAAGGATTACTCGTCTGGGGAGGAGAAAATTTCGAATTATCCTTTAAGATATGGCAATGTGGTGGAAGTATTTTGTGGGTTCCATGCTCACATGTTGGGCATGTTTACCGAGGATTTATGCCTTACACATTCGGTAAACTTGCACAGAAAAAGAAAGGACCATTGATAACTATTGTGAGTTATCATATCGTCTATAGATACATCTATATATATCTTTACCGAAAGAAACAGTTATAAAGTGAATTGTTTTTAGAATTATAAAAGAGTTATAGAAACGTGGTTCGATGAGAAACACAAGGAATTCTTTTATACCAGAGAACCTCTGGCTCGGTTGCTCGATCACGGTGATATATCCGAGCAATTAGCCTTTAAAAAACGCAAGAAATGTAAGAGCTTCCAATGGTTCATCGATAATGTAGCATATGATGTGCTAGATAAATTTCCAGAATTGCCACCAAATATTCACTGGGGAGAAGTACGTTTGACCAAAAGCATAAAAGTGTATATGTTTAAGTTTCTTCAACAAATTTTATATATAATTTTCGTATTAACAATGACAATACTTTTCTAGTTACGTAATACGGCATCTGGATCATGTTTGGATACTATGGGTCACTCACCTCCAAGTCTCATGGCTACTTCCCACTGTCATGGGTTTGGAAATAATCAAGTAATTTGCAAATACTTTATTTTTTATTCTTAATGTAACTTATTAATTTCTTTATTCCATACTTTATTATCTCTGTATTTCTAATATTTGTTATTAACCTTTAATATATATTTCTTATTAGCTTATTAGGCTGAATGCCAAGGGCCAATTGGGTGTTGGTGAAAGATGCATTGATGCAGACGGCCAACGTATAAAATACGCATTTTGTCGTCTGGGAACTGTAGATGGTCCATGGCAGTATGATGAAGTGAGTTTATTATTTTTTGATAAGAAAAATTTTTAACGGATAAAAATCTTATGAATATTATCAATATATGTTAATTTTCGTATTTGCAGAAAACAAAAACATTATTACATAGAGTACATAAAAAGTGTATTGCACTTCATCCTCAAACTCAACAGTTATCTTTGATGCCATGTGACATAAACAATGCTTATCAGCAATGGAGTTTTCATCAAGTCCATCCACGATGGTAATATGGAAAAGGGAGACTTTTCTATTTATCAAAATTTGTAAATTATTTGGAATTATACGCAAGAACAAAATTTATTTAGTAATATATAATTCAAAATAGTTTAATACTTATTTGTGACTAATAATTCGCTATATATTAAAAAGCGGTATAAATAAATAACTACGAATATTGATATAAACATCGAATAAATATCTAAGAATCTAAGAACAATAATTTTGAATTTTAAAATATATTAAAGCGAAAGTTAGGAGGTAAGCACTTTATGAAGTGTAAAAAGTGCATTTCAACTTTAATGAACTTTTTCAAGTGTCTCCTACATTTAGAAGTGTATACGTGTCATCTAAATTTAGATATTAATTAAAATCCAAAAATTTAGTTTAATTTAAAATTTAAAATTTAATAGAAAGGCATTTGGATATGTAATTTTTTAAACAAAATTATCCCAGTTAAAGCATATTACTTCCTCTTTACGCTGACTGATAAACTGTAATAAGAAATTAATATTTAATAGCATTTATAAGTATATATATGAAAGATTTATACATGTGAAAAATATTTTGATATACGATGTTTTCATTGCTACTGCCAAGATTTCATCTAATATTTCTAATATGAATTAATTTATAAAAATTTTATTAAAAATATTCTTTTTAATTTTTGAAAAAATTCCTAGCTAAGCTGATAATGTTACTTCTTCTATATCGTTCGTTAGCTAAAGGTTGACATTATAAAATAACATAGAAATTGACACTTATTTCTAAATGAAAATTGTAATTTATATTGATATTATATAATACGTTTGCGCGTGAGCTTATGCGAGAATGTGTGTAAAAATTTATATATAAAAGAGGTATGTACATTCCAGAAAATTGAAATACTTATTACATATTTATAAGATATTTTTATTTTTATATACCAGTGAATCAAATTCTTTATTGCTACTGTAAAACATTTTACACGTTT